AATGTACTTGTTAATTTAATTTTGGTCGTATTCGTAATTCGAATCAAGTAGAAAGTACAGGTTTAAATCTGTTAGTAGGCTGATTTAAATATAATAGTTAAATTGTTTACTTATGTATATAAGTTTAATTTTTTAATTTTTCATTAAATTAGAAAATTCAATTCAACAAAATAATATTTGGTTTGATTAAAAAAATGTGGAAGCAAACAAAATTGGTAAAGGAAACATAACTTGATTATGACTTTGTATAATAAAATATTACCACCTTACTTTCAAAAAAAGAGTTTAATTCTAAGATTTTAATTTAAAAATATTATATATTAAAAATGCTTGGAACATTCAGGCTTTAAATACTTGAGAGGAGAAATAAAAAATTTATATACAAATTAAAATAAATAAATTTTACACAGTAAAATTTAAATAATTTATTGATTATAGTAAATATTAAAAACCAATCTCCAAATATTTTTTTTATTTTAGAAAATTTTTACAAATGTTATTAATAATAATTTTTGATTTTCTAAGCATTTTTATGATTCATTGAATAAATAAAAAATAAATTGAGGCTTATTTAAAATTAATTTTTGATAAATATTGGTATTTTCACATAAATATATTATTTATTTTTGCAATAACAAATTGGGAATAATAAATTAATTATATCCAAACATTCTTTAAATACAGGGAAAATATATAAAATATTAATTTATAACATTTTTTAAAACTTTTTTTCACATAAAATGCCTCTAAATTATTTATAGAATGATATTTTACTAGGAAACATACTATAATGTATTTATTTGTTATTTTTTATATGCAAATAGCAGGGGTGTGCCTTTCGGTTTTCCGAATTTTTGCTTTATTTGGTATTTTGCATTTTTTAGGCACACCCCTGACATACAGGCCAATAAATTACTGCAAAAATTTTTAATCAACATTCACTCAAGACTAAGACTTCGCCCTAAAACTCAAAACCAAATCTAAGACAAATTTTTTGGGCTAACAGATAAATTTTTGATTTTTCCCACATGTTCTGCGTGGATAGCTGTAATTTTCACTTCAAAAATTTATCCTAGATTTTAGGTGTAACTTGTTTTTTAAACTTTTAACTCACCTAGGGCTGCTTTTTGTGAGCCGCAAGACTCGACTCAAAGACCAAGGCCGAAAATTTCCAAAAAAATTTTCCAAGACTCAAGATCAAATGTCTAAAATACTAACGTCTTAAACCAACCTTGAGATAGAAATTAAAAATCAACTGAAATTGATTACAAACATATGGAAGATTTTCCATATTTACAATAAAATATATTTTAACAATTATTTGTAAATTCTTAACAAAAAACTCTATTTTATTTAGCAAAATTATTTCTTTATTTATACGAGAGAATACATATATAAATTAAATAATCTTTAAACAAAAAAATTTTTTTGTTTGTTTTTTTGTTTCGAGAAAGGAAAATATTCCCTTCCAAACTATTGTATTTCAATGGGACAAATAAAAAATAGTAAATAAATTATATATTTCTTTTGTTTATTTTTGTTCTTTGAAATAAATCTTTGGTCATTAAAAATTCCCAAAAAAAATTTTTTGTTGCAAAAAATGAAATAATATTAATTTTTTGATTAAATATTTACATATTTAAAAATTAACAAAAATTTTATTAAAAGAAATTAATCTTTTTTTATCAATCCTTTTATTATGTAATTTTTAAAATTTTAAATTAAAAAAATAAAAATAAATTTTATAAAAATAAATTATTAAAAAATAAGTTTATTCATTAATAATTTCAATTTATACAAAATTTAAATTAATTTAGTAAATTTGTAATAAATTTTAATACTTTTCCATTTAATTTTTAAAAATGAATAAATAAAAATAGAAAACGAAATAAATACATATATACAATAAAGAAAATACAAACTGAAAATTTCAATTTTTAAATTAAATTGTCATTGGAAGAAAAAATTAATAAATTGAAGAAAACACGGCTAAAAACATATTAATTATTTAAATTTTAAAATATAGCAAAATAAGGTGAAAATACATAGAAATAAATTACCTATAAATGTAAAAGGCTAAATTGTTTGAGTAAAAAACACCGTAGCTTTATGCAATTACATCACAAAAAGTAAAAAAAAATAATGTTTTGCTTAAAATGTTTCAATTTTCAAGGTTTTCTATTCGTCAAATAAATGTACTTTAATATTTTTTGATGTATAGTTTATATTAAAAATAACATCAGAATTTTATATTTATTTATTTAATCCTTAAATATATATTTAATCGTTCGATCATTTTATGTTTAATTTTTGCACTTATAGACTTAAAAAATAATTATAAATTTTTACAAAAATTTTTTTAAATTTTCTCAATTTATCCAAATCCTTTTAAACAGATTTTAAAGGATTTAAATACGTTTGTAATACTTTGCGTGAATTTTTTTGCGTAGATTCGTTAAAGCGGACAAATCCATCAAAAAAAAGATAGGTTGTTTTTATAAAACGGGGCAGAATTTAATTAAAAAAGAAATGAACAGAAGGATCTGAAAAACGTAAATCAGTGAAGAATGGACCTGACCTACCCCAGACGAGAGTTTCTGATTTTCTAAATAATCAAGTAAAAAATAAAGAAATTATAAAACGTAAAATAATAATAAAATTAGATAATTTCAAAATAAATTCTGAAAGAATTCTTTACTTAAATAAAAATTATTAAAATTTTTGAAATATGATTAAATTATTCAAAATAAAAAATGCTGAAATGTCGTACAATAGTATACTTATGAATTAAAAAGAGATATTTTTGAAAGCTAGAGAACTCTAAATTATTTCTAAAATTCAAAGATATTTTCTAAAAGGTAAATTAAATTTTAAATTTTTTTATTTCTATAGGTTTATTTAGCATTTTTATTATTTTTTAGGGCCATAATAAGAATAATAAAATATGACAGTTAGTATACATTTAATAATCTCCTTCTTACATACATATAATAAATAAAACCCCTTTTAAAAAGAATCCTTTTTAATTCTATATTAAATTTTCCAAATTTAATTATAAATTGATGAAAAAAGAAGAAAAAATATATTTTAAATTAAATTTAAATATTTATTTTTTATTTAATCTTTGCCTTTTTGCAAAGGCTTTAAATAATTATCGTCATAAAATAATTCCTAATTATGGATAAAATTTAAAAAAAATAAAAAGAAGGATAAAAGGATTAATGAAGAATAAAGAGTAAAGACTAAAATGGAAATTAAATTAATTTTATAGAAAAAAATATTCAATAAATTAAAAGAACTTTATGGAAGGTGAGGTTGCGGAAATTTTTTCAATTGCATAAAAAATATTTTTACATACAGTAAAGTGGTCGATCCTGTCCCAAAAATAGGTTGAGGATCGGATTTCTTGGAATCATTCCCATGCAGAATTGTTATTATTCCCATGCAGTGCACTTTAACTTGAAATAAAATTTAAAAAAAATTCCACCTTTGACTGAACATTTTTTTGCCTTAGCATTTGCTAGGCTGATAGAAAACTTCAACGACCTTACAACATTTTTGATAAAACTTTTATAAATTAGAAGCGAAATTTTAAAATTTGAAAGAAAATAGTGAATACATAATTGTAATACTTTTACATTTATATATAGCTTAGAATTTTGGAAAATTAAATGTAAACGATTAATTAAATATAAACTCCCGTAACGACAAAAAGTAGCCTAAAAATGAAATAATTTTAATTAAAATATTTAAATAAATCCTTAAAATAATATTTAATTAAAATATTAATATTTTTGAGGATTCAATAAAGCTAACAAAAAAACCTATAACATAAAATAAACTATTTATTGAAAAATAAAAAAGAAAATAAATTAAAGCTGTTAAGGCAGGTGTAAAAAAGAAAAAAATATTCTCTTACACGTTTAAATTTGAAGAAATTAAATTAAAAAAATATATATTAAAATTATAATTAATTATATTTATTATTATACTACGTCATACAGAAAAGTTTATATTTGGAAAAGAAAAATTGTAAAAGTTTCTTTTACAGATTTGGGAGTATTTTTTATAAATGTTCGAACTTTTCGATTCAACAGATGCTATCTTTTCTTACCCTAATTCCATTAGAAGTAACCGCTAGTCGACCAATTATTTCAATCAAGCATCTTTTAAATTTTATAATTATTGAAAAAAGGAAAATTAATCTAAGACTCGAATAGGTTTGGGGCCGGGGTATTAATAAGGATTAGGTTGGATCGATATGAATGACTCAATGGAGATGAATCAAGGATTTTTAGGAATTAAGAGTATATCGATAGATTTGGGAAGGTTTTGCCTTTCGTTTTTTAGAAACTATATTTGTTTAGCTGATAATTTAAAGAAAAACTAAAATTAAATAATTTCTAAGCCACGAAAATAATTCTCGTATCTCAAATTTTTATATTGAAGCTGGTGGCTCACAAATAGAACCATGGCTTAAAAATAAAAGCTTTTTATTTAATTTTCGAATATCTTTTTAGAAAATTTATTTGTTTAGCTGATAATTTTTAGAAAAATTAAAATTAAATATTTTCTATTAAAATAAAATCATTCTCTTATATGTATCTCATAATTATAAACCTTACCTATATTCTCCCAAAATTTCAAACAAATCCATTTAATATTTAATAGGATATTGATAAAACTAGGGGTCCTATCATTTTGTTACAGAGTGTATACCTGATAACGATTAAATACAAAATGGAAACCAAATTAACTAAACATACGTTTGTCGATACGTACCAAGCTTTGCTTATCAGCTTCTGAAATTATCACAATACCGGTTCTAGACTGGTACTTATCTGGGTACTTATCTGGTACCAGATCTGGGTACTTATCGCCTTTTTGGGACTTTTCCATTAATGACGCTACACATCTAAAATGTTTTAAATTATGTACTAATTAAGAATTGTGACATTTTATTTTTATTTAGAAAAAATACATATCTATTTATTTTAAAAATGAAAAGAAACTTCATTAAACAATGCAAAGTTTGTGGAACAAAAGATAAAGTTTGTTTTCATTATGGTGTTCGTTCATGTAGGGCTTGTGGGGCTTTTTTCAGGTATTTTTTATTTTTTTTTTATAATTTAAAGATTCTTTCTCAAAAGGCGTTATCTTGAAAACGAAAATAAATTTCAATATAGTGAATGTAATTATAAATGTTTGCAAGAACAATTTTCAAATGAGAATAAAAACGAAAAATCCGAAACAAGGTTGGCAGATTGTAAAAAATGTAGACTTGAAAAATGTTTTTCTGTTGGAATGAAAAAATTGGGTTGGACAAAATATTTAAAAATAATTTTAAAAGGACTTTAGATGTTGGATATGTACGACAAGATATACATATGCCGGGAAGCGATGGAAGAACAAATAAATGAAATTAACGTAAATTTATTTTTTAATCAGGAAAAGTTACTGTAGAATCTTATTCTTCTCTATAAGAAATCCTTTTTTAGAAAACTTTATTAGTTCCTTTTTATTAACAAAAATATAATCGAAATTAAATTAGTAAAAGATGCATGAGGGGCGTGGACAGCCAATTTGTTCAAACACGATTAAACGAACCTAAACTGTTTAATCGGTTTTAAATGGGTCTAAACATCTCTTTACTTTTTAAGCTTCAAAATCCTTCAATTGTCGACATATCCATCAAAGATGAACAAGAAATTGCCTCAATTTTACCAATTATTGAAGCCAAAAAACGTATTATGCATGCATTTGATGATTTGGATGATATATTCCTTAAAGGCCCGATTTTGTTTGAAGAAATAATTTTATCAAATTTTAATATTTTTCGTTTAACTGGGATTTTTTCGGTAAATTTTAATTTAAATTTTAATAAAAATTAAAATTTTGCTTTAAAGCCAAATCCAAGTCCAATACCTTTTGATGAATTAAAAAGTTGGGAATCTTCATTTCTAAATGAAGGATTATTTAATAGTAGAGTTCAAAAATGCTTATTAGTTGACAAACTTGTGATTGTTGGTATAGCTAAATCTTTTCCTGTTTTTGAAAAATTGGCTTTATCTGATCAAGTATATATAATCTATATGAAGAAGTATAAGAATTTCGACACAGAGTACCGCGTTAATCCCATCCTCCCTTATGATATTGTTCTTAAATTTCTCAGACCTAAACTTTTAAAATCAGTTTCGTTACACCCCTGGCATAACGGGTGTGCAAAATAAGAAAAACTTGATTAATCTAAGATTTAATTTTCTTTTTATAAAATAGATTGCACATCTAAGGCATATTTTTTATATGCTTATGTCATTCGCAAGCACCTACCTAGCTTGGGAATTAGGTTATGAAACTTGGACACGTAAAGATGGTGTTATGCCAGCTCTTACTATTATGAAGCATTCTGTAAATGATGATATGTAAACATGTTCTAAAAATTTGAAAAAATATTTTTTAATTTTTAGAATGATTAAATGGACAGATTATGTATATACAATATCTGTTGTTCACTTCAAACGTGTTGCATTAACAAAAATTGAATATGCTTTATTGGTAGCTATTATCCTTACTAAAGCAGGTAAAACTTTAATTTGTAAAGGCGAACTAAAAATTGTTTCCCTGCTTATAATTTAAATCAGAGCTCGGATCTAGAATTTTAAAATATCTGCAATTTCGGGCTATTTTTATCATACTTTCATATACACACATTTTTTTCAAAAAAAGATGCTGCTGACCTGTCTCCAGATGGAAAAGAATTACTTTATAACGAATTTAATAAATATACAAAAATTTTACTTCAATATAATCAACGAAGATTAGGTTTACCTGAAGGGGCTCAAAGATTGGCTGAATGTAGTCGACTAATTAATCGAAGTATTGAAAATGAATATACTTTTCGTTCAATTCTCTCTCATCAAATTAAATATTTTTCAATGGGTGCAACTTACTATAAATGTTCAAATTTTTTTGAAAATTACTTGAATAAAAGTTGAAAACACAGATTTAGCTTTGCAAGCGAAAATTTGGAAGATTAATAAGCCGGATTTCCTTCATTTTTGTTGCGTGATATATACATATGTATTATGAAAAATTATGTGAAATTGCATAAAAATCTTAAAAATACGCAAGTCAAAAAAAAAGATTGTTTTATTCCGACCTCCAAGTGTTCCACCAAGTCCTCCAGCAGCGCTGGAGGACTTGGGTTTTTGAAAGAAAATGATGGATTCATATTATTTAAAGTTCGGGTAGACTCAGATATATCCGCCGGTATCCGGATATTATCCGTATCCATGGCCAGGTCTGATAAATTAAATTTAATGTAGAGGCCGCTCTATTGGAGCGGACGTTCAAATGCTGGCGGCCGCTTTATTAGAGGAAATACGGTATTTATTTAATGAAATAATATAATTTTTTATTTCCAATAAGAGAATTATTTATTTATTCATTTATTCAAAGCCTTCCTCAAAAGGATGTTTTAAATCATGATTTTCATATTCTGATAACCCAACAGTAGCAAAACGTCCATTTACTGTTGGTTTAACATGTATAACACGTAAAGGACCCATTTTTGTAGGTTTATTTATTTCAATATCTTCTGATTGTTTTGGGAGGATTGGAAATTCAGGAGGTTGAATTGGCGGCTCTGGTGGTTGGATTGGGGTTAGGGGTCTTTGAAGTAGTTGAAATACTTGTTGGAATTTTTGTTCTAATTGTTGTTCTGTTAATTGTTGTGGTTGGCTTGATTGTTGGTAAAGATTACTGAAAATTTTATTTTAAAGGAAATTTAGTGAATATGCTAAAAATGAAAAACAAAAGGTTAGTAATGTGGGGATATTTTATCTGAGATTTTAAAATCCTTAATCGGGTACATACATAATTGTGAAAATGTTGAGTAATTTACCGAGATATACCAAATTCAAAATTTTGTTACAAAATTTTAAACATGTTTATATGAAATCAAATTTTCTTTTAAGAAAAATGCTTGGACTGGTAACTGGATCAGAAGAGGTGGGTCGGAACAGTCAGAGGTGTTGGAAATCGGAAGAGCCGGAAATCGGGACTGGCTCAAAAGTCGGAACTCGGAATTCCGACCCACCTCTGATGCATATCAAATTTAATAATTAACATCTCATTCATCACAAAAATTTTTATTTTTAATTTCATTTCACTTTTGTCTTTCAAATATTTAAATTATTTTCTTACCTTCCACTAACTGGCCAAACAGATTTACGATTTCTTCTATTATTTCTTTCTCCATCCCTAGAAGATTTATTTCTAGGTCTCCCTTTTCTTTTTTTATTATCAACATCTCTTTCTTCTTCCTCCTCAGATTTATCTTCAGGATAATTTCTTCTATCCCCATAATTATTGTTAATTTTTGTGATTAAATCCTGTGCAATTATATCAGCCACCTTTATAAAAAATAATTTTTCAAAACTTTTTTAAATTAAAAAAATTATTGTTTGATGCCAAAAACCATTCTAGGGATCATTTGGTCAGCAGCAGTGGTATTTGTATTTCCAGTTGTATTACTTGTACTATTGCTTGTATTATTCGTTCTTGTATTGTTATTCATCATAATAACTTTAATTCCACAATCACATCCACAACCACAACAATCACAACCGCATCCACATCCACAATCGCAACAACAACCACATTGGGCTTTTATTTGATTAATTATGATAAAAATGAGAGTAATTGTAATGATGGTTTGGGTTGAATTCCTTTTTAAAAAAATATTTCTTATTAAAGAAAATAATTAAAATTTTATTAGAATTTACAAATACAATTTTTAAAATATAATATCTTCGTGTATAATAGAGTCTCGAAGTATTTTATTTTGACTACTAGGATCACAGAGAAGCTAAGTCTTATCTCTATATTCTTTATTTTATGTTGTCATAATTTAATTAAATACAAGGAATTTTTATTAAAATAAATTTATTATTAAAAAATTTAAAAACACCTACATTCCTCTCTCAATTTGATCGTATTAATAATATTATCAAACTTCTTCTATCACAAAAATATCACAAAAATTACTTTAAAAAATAAATTTGAAATAATTTTTACAGATTATTTGACCTTTAGTTATAAAAATTATCTAGGTAATGAGATATACTATAAGACTAACACATTTTTATTAAACAACCGGATACTAGAAATTAAATAATTTATACTTTAAGGAGAAAATAAAACACGTAAAAGGTAAACAAATATATTAACTAGATCTAGTATATATAACATTATTTAGTTACCAGTTATTTTAATTATCAGATGGGACATAATGCCTACTCCTTTTCAACTAATTCTAATAATTTTTTGGTCATCTAAAAAATTCTTTTAGGTCGAGAAAACAATTGTTTTAGAAAAAAAGAAAATGTAAGAGTAAATAGAGACTGGAAAATATAACAATAAAAATCTCCCAATTCTTTTTCTTATTTGTTCTCCTATTCTTCTTTCATTTCCAAAGATGGTCAATTAACATAAGAAGAAGACACAGTCTGTTAATTTATTTTCTAATGAAATGTCAAAATTTCTTTTCTGTTCAATTTTTGTTTCGACTTTTTTTAATTTTTGTGTTTTTCACAAAATTTTCAACTTCTTGTTGCTGTGATTGTTGTTGTAGCTGTTGTTGTTGTGACTGTGGATGTTGTTGTGGATGTGGCTGTTGTGGGGGAGGAGGTGGTGGATGTTGTCGAGGAAATAATAATCAATTGGCGAGTCTACTTGGTCAATTATCTCTTGGATCACAACAACCTCAACCAGCTATCCAGGAACAGGCAGCTTCTTCTGTTTTGGGCCCAGATTTGTTGCCAGATGGATCTACTGATAGAGGAAATAACCAAAGAATATCAGAGTAAGCATTTAAACTTAGAGTATTTTATCTAAAGAAAATATACTCTCACATTACAACCCAACTTGAATTAACTGGACTTTTGATAAGAAGATCAGCAAAATTGTTTTCTCAATAAATCATTCTTCTAATTGATCTGAATTTATTAGTTAATTGCTATGTTATGATAGTTTTAAAAATTTAAAATCATGGGAAGAGTTTAGCCTCACTAATTCTAATTGAGTAATTAATACCTAAAATACAAATATGAAAGTTTAATATTTACCGATAACTAGCGTTTTTTTAATTTTTCTTTAGCTTAATTATTAAAAATAAAATATTCAAATTTCCCATATTTTAAATTTAGGACAGAAAATATTTTCGGCAATAATGATCAATTTAAAAAAAGAAAACGAAGAAGAAAAAGAGGAATAGTTGGAAGAATTGAACATAGTAAAGGAGATAAACTTTTAAATATTTTTGAATGTATTTTTAAAAGTTTAAAAGAAGAAAGAGAAAAAAGACAAATGATAACAATGCCCTATTTATCTTCAACAAAAATTCCATCAAAATATTTACCTTCAGATTGGTCACCCGATAACATAAAAACTAATGAAGCACAGACTTCTATTGGGCCAGGACTTTTGCCTGATGGGTCAATAAGTCACCAATACTCAAATCAAAATAAAAATTTAATGGGAAACGAAAATAGTGATGATTATTTTGGGGGAAATGAATTTTTTGGTGGAAATAATCAAAATAATAATTGGCAATTAAAAAGAAGAAGAAGACGGCAACTTAATTTTGATGGACAAAAACCTTGGTTTGGTAAGAAATAATTTTATTTTGGAATATAAAATATGTAACTCTCTCCCTATGATATGAGATTTGTTGAAAATTAAAAATAGCTTTAATAGAAATCCTCATTTCAATTTAATATTTTCTTTAATAAAGGCCACTAAATTAATCTCTCAGAAAAAGCTTATTCTAATAAAATTATTTTTAAAATTTTAAGGATGTTGGCCACCAGGAACATTATTTACTTGCCAATTACTTTTGGCAAGAAGGAAGCGAAATGAGAATAAAAATATATTTCAATTGGGTCTGGTACCATTAGAAAACATTAAACAAAATAATACAACATTTCTTAACTTTCTTCTTGGAATTATACCAGAAAATAAAGAAAAAAGTTGGAGAATAAATAGAAGGAAAAAGAGAAATAATAATTTTCCTTCTACAGAAGATGCTGGAGAATTTGAAATTCAAAAAAGAATATTTTTGTTTCCGGAAAAATTTTTGGATATTAAAAAAGAAGAGAATAATAAAAGATTTAAAAAACGATTATTTTATAAAACAATTATTTCAAATCCAGAAAGAGAACAGGAAAAGACTGAATTTGGTTGTGATTAAGGAATATTTTTTAGAAAGAATAATTTTTTAATTTTTTGTTTAATTTTCTGTACATAAATGATAAAAAAAGATAATTTCTATTCTTTTAAAAGACGAGATCTAACCAAAAACACTAGATTAACTTAGTAGCATTTATTAAAGAAATGTTGAATTTAAATGAGGATCTCGAATACTAATTCCATCTACCGTATTTTCTCGATTAATTCCCCTCCCTCGAATAATTCCCCCTCTCGATTAATTCCCCCTGTCAGAGATAGGTTGAAACAATAATTCCCCTCCCTCGAATAATTCCCCTCCCTCAAAACTCGAATAATTCCCCCCTCTCAAAAGAATTACCACTTTTATTTTTCTTCTCCTTTTTCCCCTCTCCTAAAAAAGTAGACATGGATCAAAGTAGTATTTAACAGCTGAAATATCAAGGTATAGGATTTAAGGATAACAGAGTATTAGAGGATAGCAATGGATTTGAACGTAATCAGGAAATATCAGAGGATTGAAGGGATATCAAGAGATATATTTGAAGAGGTCGGAATTTAATTCAAAATAGTGGGATAATGGGATAGTACAGAAAATAATATATAAAGTAGGTAAGTATATATGGTTCCATACTTGGTGATATAATATATATCCCTTAGTATCGTATCATACAATGACCCATCATGTGGTACTATAGTCTTTATATACACATTTTTGAGTACATAAAGAACTAAGTAAACACATGCAAGTTATATGGATGCATGATAGGGAATATAATGAAATAGTAGATAAATAAAAAAAGAAAAAGAATGCCAAAACTTCATACTTTTTAAATTTAGGAATGCGTTGAAACAATAATTCCCCTCCCTCGAATAATTCCCCTCCCTCGATTAATTCCCCCTGCCAGAGATAGGTTGAAAAAATAATTCCCCAGGGGAATTAATCGAGAAAATACGGTATAGGGTGCGTAAAAAGTCCTTGCCCACACTTTTTTGCATAAAAATTTAATCAAATGGAATTTTGCCAAATATATTCACAAATACATTCAGAAAAATGCGCGTTACTAGAAAATTATAAAAGATTTTCAAAATTTTACCAATTTGCGGAAATATTATACAAGCCTCTAAACGCTTCTAGAAATTTCCTACGATGGTCGCACATTAATCATCACTACTAATTTGGTCCCAGGCACCCTTCAATTCAGTTTTCAGATTCTCAATTGTTTATTATCTTTTCCGCTCAATCTTTTGCTCCAACAATGTCCAGACCGAATAGTTCAAAGGATTAAGATAAGGTGAGTTAAAATCTAGTTAAGATCTGGTGAGATCTGGTGAAGGATTAAGATCTGGTGACCTCTTTTTATTTTTATTTAAAGTTAAATATTGAAGTTAATCTTAATGTTGAAGTTAAAATCCAATTTTGAAGTTAAAATCCACTTGATTAAATTTTTATGAAAAAAAGAGTGAGGGCAAGGAATTTTTACGCACCCTGTATAGAGAAAAGTTGGCTACGCTTTGTTTCGTCCCCTTTTGTTTCGGCCCCTTTTGTTTCGTCCCCCTTTTGTTTCGTCCCCCTGAACAAAACTTTTGTTTCGTCCCAATGTACAAAACTTTTGTTTCGTCCCCTTTTGTTTCGTCCCCTTGAACAAAAACTTTTGTTTCGTCCCACTAAGTTAATAATAAATCTTTTGTGCTTTTTCCCGGTATGTATTATCTTTTTCTTTATATTTTTAGACAATTAGCAATAATCAACAACAATTATTAACGAAAAAAGATAATTTTTATGGAAAATTTAGAATTTTTTAATTTTTAAAAATTTTTAAATTTCTTCAATTTTTTTAATATCTCAAGACGGCGAGAATTCTACAATGAATGGCGAGGTTTCTACTACAGACACATGGTTTATTTTTTAGTTTTTTGGCTTTTTGAAATTTTTATTTTCCCCATTATGTACAAGGGGGAGCTATAGCCCTAGAAGCCCCTTGGCCGTTATCCCTTACGTATTTTTGCGGCCTTTTTTGGGGAGATTTCTTCCCCCAATTCCACTTCCCACTCCATTTTTTTATTTTTAAAATTTTAAATTTAAGACAATCCAGTCCTGGACGTGTTTTTATTTGTGTCGAGCAGATTGCTGCTGATGCCTGGTGACCTTGATATGTGAAGTCTTCAACTTTAACCCAAACGGCCCTCTTTAGGGCCACAATTTTAATAAGTGAAACGAGACATTGACTTTAAAACTTTTGATAAAAATTTTTTGTTTAAGAAATTTTTTGTTTTGTAAGTTTTTAAATTTCTATGGAAGTTTTGATAAGATATTTTTAATATCTGAAGAATTTATGTATGTATATTCAGGTATGATTTCCCCTTTTTTAATTTTTAGTTCGACAAATTGAGTATTTTTACTCTGCTGGACATTTTGAGATGGGACGAAACAAAAGGGGACAAACCCAAGGTTTTTGTATAGTGGGACGAAACAAAAGTTTTTGTTCAGGGGGACGAAACAAAAGGGGCCGAAACAAAAGGGGACGAAACAAAAGTTTTGTACATTGGGCCGAAACAAAAGTTTTGTTCAGGGGGACGAAACAAAAGTGGGCCGAAACAACAGCGCGCCGAAAAGTTTCACTATAGAAGTTCCACTAAAATTATTTTCTTGTCAGAAAATAATTTTGTCATTTTATATACTTTTAAAATTAAATTTAAAACTTAATAATATGTATTTAACTATATTTTATAATTTAATTAAGGTAAGTTGTTGAGACCTTTCTTTGTGGTAAAACTCGTGAAAAATCATAAGAGGAGAGAGTCGATAAGCTCGTGACAAATCATAAGAGGAGAAGCTCGTGACAAATCATAAGAGGAGAAGCTCGTGACAAATCATAGAGAGGAGAGAGTCGATAAGCTCGCGACAAATCATAGAGAGGAGAGAGTCGATAAGCTCGTGACAAATCATAAGAGGAGAAGCTCGCGACAAATCATAGAGAGGAGAGAGTCGATAAGCTCGTGACAAATCATAGAGAGGAGAGAGTCGATAAGCTCGCGACAAATCATAGAGAGGAGAGAGTCGATAAGCTCGTGACAAATCATAAGAGGAGAAGCTCGTGACAAATCATAGAGAGGAGAGAGTCGATAAGCTCGCGACAAATCATAGAGAGGAGAGAGTCGATAAGCTCGCGACAAATCATAGAGAGGAGAGAGTCGATAAGCTCGTGACAAATCATAAGAGGAGAAGCTCGCGACAAATCATAGAGAGGAGAGAGTCGATAAGCTCGTGACAAATCATAAGAGGAGAGAGTCGATAAGCTCGTGACAAATCATAGAGAGGAGAGAGTCGATAAGCTCGTGACAAATCATAGAGAGGAGAGAGTCGATAAGCTCGCGACAAATCATAGAGAGGAGAGAGTCGATAAGCTCGTGACAAATCATAAGAGGAGAAGCTCGTGACAAATCATAGAGAGGAGAGAGTCGATAAGCTCGCGACAAATCATAGAGAGGAGAGAGTCGATAAGCTCGCGACAAATCATAGAGAGGAGAGAGTCGATAAGCTCGTGACAAATCATAAGAGGAGAAGCTCGCGACAAATCATAGAGAGGAGAGAGTCGATAAGCTCGTGACAAATCATAAGAGGAGAGAGTCGATAAGCTCGTGACAAATCATAGAGAGGAGAGAGTCGATAAGCTCGCGACAAATCATAGAGAGGAGAGAGTCGATAAGCTCGTGACAAATCATAAGAGGAGAAGCTCGTGACAAATCATAGAGAGGAGAGAGTCGATAAGCTCGCGACAAATCATAGAGAGGAGAGAGTCGATAAGCTCGCGACAAATCATAGAGAGGAGAGAGTCGATAAGCTCGTGACAAATCATAAGAGGAGAAGCTCGTGACAAATCATAGAGAGGAGAGAGTCGATAAGCTCGCGACAAATCATAGAGAGGAGAGAGTCGATAAGCTCGTGACAAATCATAGAGAGGAGAGAGTCGATAAGCTCGCGACAAATCATAGAGAGGAGAGAGTCGATAAGCTCGCGACAAATCATAGAGAGGAGAGAGTCGATAAGCTCGTGACAAATCATAAGAGGAGAAGCTCGTGACAAATCATAGAGAGGAGAGAGTCGATAAGCTCGCGACAAATCATAGAGAGGAGAGAGTCGATAAGCTCGCGACAAATCATAGAGAGGAGAGAGTCGATAAGCTCGTGACAAATCATAAGAGGAGAAGCTCGTGACAAATCATAGAGAGGAGAGAGTCGATAAGCTCGCGACAAATCATAGAGAGGAGAGAGTCGATAAGCTCGCGACAAATCATAGAGAGGAGAGAGTCGATAAGCTCGTGACAAATCATAGAGAGGAGAGAGTCGATAAGCTCGCGACAAATCATAGAGAGGAGAGAGTCGATAAGCTCGCGACAAATCATAGAGAGGAGAGAGTCGATAAGCTCGCGACAAATCATAGAGAGGAGAGAGTCGATAAGCCCTTGCCAAAACATAAAGAGGAGAGAGATGATAAGCTCATAACAAATCATAGAGAGGAGAGAGACTATAAGCTCGCGACAAATCATAGAGAGGAGAGAGTCGATAAACTCGTGCCAAAACATAAAGAGGAGAGAGATGATAAGCTCATAACAAATCATAGAGAGGAGAGAGACTATAAGCTCGCGACAAATCATAGAGAGGAGAGAGTCGATAAACTCGTGCCAAAACATAAAGAGGAGAGAGATGATAAGCTCGTAACAAATCATAAGAGGAGAGAGTCGATAAGCTAGTAACAAATCATAGAGAGGTGAGAGTCGATAAGCTCGTAACACATCATAAGTGGAGAGAGCTTTCGCCTTCCGTCTTTCGCTTGTTAAATTTACTTTCGAAATTTCACCTTTGGTCTTTCGACATTTTTACCGACTTTCTTAGAATCTGTTTCTGCACACCTCCGGAAAGAAGATTATAAAAAATAAATGAAGATTATAAAAATAAATGAAAATTATAAAAAATATATAAAACAAGAAATAAAATTATATTTTAGAATTAAAATTTTTTTTAAATAAATTTAAAAATGTGTCAACATAGTAAAATCAAGAATTGTTGTGCTTACTAATTTTTTAATATAATTAAAAACAATTTCAAATTTACAAAAAAAAATATTTAAGGGAATAAATAACTTAATTAATGATTAAGGATGATATCGGTGGAACTGGAAGTATGATAAAAGGAGATTTGTAGGATTACATATGATTGGCAGATAAGGAGATTTGAAGGGTTTAAAAGAAGCATATGTGTATTTGAGAAAATATCTGAGGATTAAGGTGAGCCCATATTAAGTTCCCGCTAAAGCGAAACATTTTAATATACCTAGAGACCTTCGTTGTTAGTAATTAATTTTACAAATTTTTAGTTTCTATTTATTTATCCAGTTGAAGGAGAGCCCATATTAAGTTCCCGGTGGAACTGGAAGTATGATAATATGATTGGCAGACGGAACGTCTCACTTGTGTACCGGCCGTTTGTGTACCTGGCCATGTTTTGGGCCATAACTTTTTCGATTCTTAATTGATTTAAATAATTTATATGTCAATCGAAAGCCCTGGATGTGAGGATTATTTTTGCCAACAGGAATTATTTGATCAGATCATTACACAAAAAGTTACAGCCAGATAAATGCGTGCAATCGTGATTTTGATCTTTATCTGGCTGTAACTTTTTGTTTGTTGATTTGATCAAATAACTCATGTTGGCAAAAATAATCCTCACATCCAGGGCTGTCGATTGATAAAAGATTTATCCGAATTGGTTGAAACTCCAGAAAGTTATGGCCTAAAATATGGCCAGGTACACAAACGGCCGGTACACAATGATCCCCTACCCATTGGCAGATAAGGAGATTTGAAGGGTTTAAGGGAAACTTATTAATTTTAAATTTATTATTAATATTTTTGAATCCAAGTTAAGGTAAACTGTTGGGACCTTTCCTCGAGCTAAAAAAAGAGTTAATAAGCTTGCGCCAAATCATGAAGAGGAGAGAGTCATAAGCTTGTGAGAAATCGTAGAGAGGAGAGAGTCGATAAGCTATGGCAAAGCATAAAGAATAGAGAGTTAATAAGCTCGCGCCAAATCATGAAGAGGAGAGAGTCATAAGCTTGTGAGAAATCGTAGAGAGGAGAGAGGCAGGCCGAAGGCCCGCCGTAGGCGAGGGCCTTCCGCCATTTTAGGACTTTGGCCTTTCGCTTTCCGTTTTTCGCTTTTTAAATTTACTTTCTCAATTTCGTCTTTGGTCTTTCGACTTTTTTACCGACTTTCGTTTTTTAGAATCTGTTCGGCACCCCTGGTATACATATATTATTTATTAAAGATCCGTCCTATATCCAAACCGAAAGCTGCGGATATCCGGACCTTTTTGAATCGGAATATATGGATCTAACCATAGTTTGGTTACTGCTAAAATATAACACCGATTTCATTATATTATATTCAAAATTGTTTAAACTTAAATGTAATCATATAACAAAAATCCCCAACATAAGTTCTAAACTAAACTTTCTATCAGTGGTAGGTATTGCTTCGGGGGCATCTTATGATTTTACTAGCGATCCGCCTCTAATACGCAAGTAGTTGCCCAGCGATCCGCCTCTAATACACGCACGCCATGCTTAATTCACGACTTATAAAATGCTTTGCCATTTCTCTATAATCAGTCTGTTTTAAATTTTATTCTTTAAATTATTATGGCTTAATTGCTCGCATTTTTAGCTTAATGGCTTGCATTTTTATTTTTTTATGACCGTTATGCCATGCTTTAAAGCAAAGCAATAATTTATATTATTCAGAGAGGTCCCATTAAGCATTTAAAAAGCTATTATGAAAAGTTTTACTAAGAGAACTAACAAATAAGAGAAAATAAAAAAATAATTTTATTTTAACTTTAGATGCGGCAGAAAAAATCATTTCTGCTATTCTTATTTTACAATTGTTTGATCCAAACTGCTTTTTCTGCAAGAAGTCTACGTGGTTTGGGTGGAAGAAGTTTAATTTCTAGACACAGTTCTGAAGGGTCGGCAAGAAAAAGTTTTAAAAGTCTTCCTTCATTTAAAACTGAAGAGATGGTTGCCGAAGAATATGTTCAGAAGTTGGTTGGTAAAACACAATATTTTATGCCGAAGGTTATTGATGGTGATGTTTATTGCAAAAAAGGAGATTTTGTTGAAATAAAGGGTGATGAAAATGTTGAAAGATCAAAGAAAAAAGGATGTAAATATATTACATCAAAAGATATAACTGTTGCAAAATTATTGGAATATTTTTATTTGAAAATTGATAAAATTGAAGGAATGAGAGAAAAACTTGAACAGATAGAATTTGAAAATGATAAATGCAATATTGGCTTTCCTTTGCCAAACAATATTTTTGGAAAAGCATTTCTGCTTGACAACGCTTTGTCTTTTTCTGGAGATGAATTGGAAAAGTTGGTTCATGGCGAAGAGAAAATGGTTTATGATAAATTATTGAAGGAAGAAGAAGAGAATGATGATGAAGAAGATGAGAATGAAGAAGAAGAGAATAATGATGAGGAAGAAGAAGAAGGTGAGGGAGATGTTCGTTTAAGTACACATATTTTGCTTGAGGCAATTTACAAGGGCAGTAATGCATTCACAAAGGATTCTATTTTGGATTTTGAAAAAATCCCAGAAATGGAATATAAATACGAAATTCAAAAACAGAAGAAATTTAAAAATACATCTAAAAGGATTTCTCAGAAAATACATATGATATTGAAAAATATCATTGAAAGGATGGAGAAAAAAATTGGTAAAGAAAATGATACTGGAAGCCAAACATCCTCTCAGAAGGCAAATTCTCTACCAAGGGAAGGACCTCCAGCAGAGGAAAATGAAGATGCAACCCTCATTGTGCAGCAAGAGGAACATGATGTTACTGATGAAGATATTTCGGCTTTAAAAAAATTGAAGGATGGAAAATTAACAATTGACAAGAAATTAAAATTAGAAATTAATGTAAAAATAGAAGAAATTGAAAAGAAAATGATAGGAATTCTGAACGGATATAAAACAGTTGGAGAAAAGAAAGGACAGATAGGTAAATGGAAGGTAATCCTTGATGATTGGGAAAAAGATGCGAGAAAATCCTTTGAAAAGAAAATAGAAATAAAAAAAGATGAAGAAGGTCACAAGAAGTTGCTTGAATATAAACCGCGTGTATTTGAATTCCTTAAAGTAATTAATTAACCATACATTAATTAACCTTTTAATTAATTAACCTTACAATAGGTTCTGTCCTTTAATATACATATGTATCATCACTCAAAAGCAGGGTTGCGTCATAATTACGAATTACGGCGTTTTTTGAGTTACGAATTACGATTACGAAAATTCGGGCAAAATTACGAATTACGAAAATAAAAATTAAAAATTACGAAAAAATATTATTACGAAAAAACCCCCTTCGTACTTAACAATAAATGTTCGACGGAAAATTGAAAGAAATATTTTTATTTTCTTTCATGTTCCAATTAGTTGATCGGTGGTTGAGTGGTCTACAAGTCGGATTTCGCTCGTTTTGATATTTTAGGGGGCTTGTTCGAATCCATAATTGAGAAATGAAATTTAGAAGGAATAGAAATTCTATTCTAAATTTCTATTCAAAAGAATAGAAATTTTTTTAAAAATATGTGAAATTACAAAACATTCAATGTTTTTGGATTCGTGATCAATGTTCTGATAAAAATAAAAATTTAGGAAACAACTTTCGGAGTGAGTATTAAACCAGCAGACAAACGTTTTAAAAATATTGAAGGGGAAGAATACGAAGAATTAATAGAATTTTTCAAAAATCCTCTGGAATTTCTTAATCCGACTCCCGAAGAAAATGAAACAGCAAACAATGATCAGTCGGAAAATTCTGAAAATAAATGGAAAAAGAAATTGAGTGAAAAATTGTTGAGATTTATATTTAATGAAATGGAAGGAATAAAGGGAGATAAAGAAGGCAAGGAAGATCTTGAAGGGAAGATTCAGACAAAGGATATTATTGAAGTATTAAATGAAGAATTTAAATGGTTAAATTTGGGGTTTAAACGCAAAATAAAAGAAAAGTTTCAGAAGAAAGGAAAGGTTGAAAATAATAGAAAGTTTGTTGTTGGACATTTTAGAATCTTGAAAAAAGAGTTGACAGATATTGACAATGGCATTGAAAATTGTAAAATGTTAAAAGATTCGATACTACAAGTGTTACGTTATAATGATGAAAGTGACACTATACATCAGGAATTCCGTGGAAGGTCTGTCTTTTAATTTTAATTGATATGTAGATTTTTCAGACAGGACCTTAAATATATGTAATTTCTAAAATTTTCAGAATAATATCACGAATTTATACGAATAAGATAACCGATAGTCCCAAACCAACAGACCGATGATCCCTAATACAAAAATTTTGGGATCCAACTCACGGCTTCGAGAAATATAGTATGTCTACATGGTTTCCCCAAGGATATAAAATTTAATAAATTTTCTACAAACAAAATAATAATTATTATTTTGTTTTTATTGTCTAGTAGTCCCTCATAACTTTTTGTTTTTAAATAATTAATTACAGAATCGGAGCACAAATACTCGGATCTGTCTACAACGCTAAAGAATTAACTAAAGACCTTTGGAATGGCTTGTTATTAAGTTTGGGTGGTGCTGGATTTATAGCAGCAGTTCTTGATATTGGCGTTTGGCCGGGAATAATTTCATTAATTTCGCTGACTGGATGTATTCCTTGTGCTCATGCTGTGGGAGTGTTCCTCTACTCGTTGACACCCCTCGCAGCAGAAACTTTTGATTCGCTCGTTATAAAACGTTTGTTAATTTCATTTGATGGTGGAAGTTTTTGGCCAAGTTCTAAGGCTGTTTTTGATGAAAATCTGAGAGATGCAGTCGCTGCAGGAAAAATAGCCGCTGGCGGTTCTATTTTTAACAACTTACTGGCAATGGAAGAGATTAGTAAATCGTTTCCAGAAAATGCTCAATGGACTTCAATATTTCCTGCTTTTCCGGCAAATCTTGTATGAGAAAAAAATTTTTAAAAATATTATTTTTTAAATAAAATAAACAACAAAATATTCTCTAAATTTCAGGTAGCAACAGCTACTTCTGGTGCAATGATACCTCTGGAATTCAACGAATGGCGTGACCATCAACGTTCGGCCCTATATAAATTATACGATCGAGGATTTCTTCCAAAACCAGATGGTGATAAAATTGTGTTGGAATGGAGAATTTCAGAAAAGAAACGAAAAAATTGGAAACGCTTTTTTAGTTTATTTAAAACCCCAAAAACATCTCCAATAATTACAAACAAGGAAAGAGATATTGCATTCCGTGAATACATCAAATCAAAAATTGAAGCATCTATGGATATACAAAAAACTTCTGCAATGTCCATTAATTCAATGGGAATCGGTGCTTTGATAAGCTCATTTGTATTATTCGCCTTGTATTTTCCTTCTCTGTTTGGGGTAAAAATTCCAGAAGTTCTTGAAAAAATCTTTATAATTATGGTTAACACACCAACAGAAATTATTTCTTTTGCTGCTGGAATTTTTTCGGCAAATAATTTTGGAGCGGAATTAATAGAAAAGTGGTGGAGTACAGACGATATGAAAAATAAACAAATGGTAATTGATATAAACAATTTAAAAAATGTTGTATCAAATATGTATGCTTATAGTTGAAGATAAGGGAAACCAGACATGGTCATGGATACGGATATGGATACAGATAATACCAAAATGCCTGCGGATATCCACCTGTATTCGTCTGTATCCGCCGTAAATATGCGGATACGGATACCAAAATCCGTATCCGTGTCCTAGTCTGAGGAAAACCGTTTCTCAATAGGGCAACTAAAATGCCCCAAATATATTTTTAACAAAATTTTCTAGTTCCACATTTTTAATTTTAGGTTCGACTTATCATTGATCGAACAATAGAACAAATGAAAACCCCTCATGAAGGGATCCAAGAAATTAAGCAAAAGGAAGTTAATGAAATATATCATACAAAATCGAATAAATTAACCTATAAATATGGAAAAAGTGTTACGAAACTTATGATCGTGGTTTCTGAAACCGTTACTAATTCTTGGAATAAAATGTGGAGAAAACCCATTTCAAAATCATTATTTAAGAAAATAAATATTGGAAAATTGGCATTACCGTTTTATAAAGGTTTGGAATTAAATAAAAGGAAAAGATAAAAATAATCTTTAATTTATAGAAAATGAAGTGAAGGAAGATTTAACTTTCAATTTATCCTACTTAGAGGATGATCTTTTGAAGGATATACCGGATATGCCTGGATATGATGAAGAAAAATTTAGCAAGTTCATGAATGAAATTTGTAAATAATATTTAAAATATTTGCTCAAATAAGAAGGAATAATTAAGTTTATCTAATTATAGTAGGTAGTGTGATAGTTTAGCAGACAATAACTGTTGGGAAGTATTCCTCGTACCTCCATGATACAAGATATCTGGGTGAATTGGCCTATTTCCCTATTAATTTACTATTTTAGCACCTTATCATGAGAAGCACAAATTGAATTTAACGGAAAGTCATCATTATATGACTATTGTCTCCAACTGGAACAATACTGGCAATCTTGATTTCGAAAGAGTCGAGAATTATCAACTAGTCAATAAAAGTGTAGTTGAGGGATTAAATTTTGTAAAATTTTAAATAATAATATTAAAAATATGAAAATAATAATATTAATTACAAGTTTAATTTAAATTCTAATTAATCGAATTTGGACTTAGGATTATAGATCTAGGACTTATAATGTTGCTAAGAGACCCAAATTAGGATCCGGAAAATTAAAAATAAGAGTCTCTCCACAATAATCAAAAGTGGATTTTTTATAATTATTGTGGGTGTAGAAATTGTGGGCAGATTTCTACAATTAAATAAATTTTACAAATTTTTGTGAAATTTAATGTTTATTTTATAAGAATAACTATCTTAACATTAAAAAAATAATTGGGATTAATAAGCAGTTTATTCCACATGTTATGATATTCCAAACAAATAATCTTATTGTTACTTAAATCATTTTTTTAATAATTTGTTTTTAGTCGGACAAAAATCTAAAAAGCTTAAACAAAGCTTTAAAAAATTTTGAGACGAACATTGAATTAAAGAGTAAAATTCTAAAATGCGGGTTGTACGGGAAAATTGTACATTTTACCGCTTTGGAGATTGATAATCAGGATAAAATAGGAAAATCTGGGTTACTTGAAGATGAGGAATTAAATGGAATAAAGGATGAAATCACAAAAAATATAGATAATTATTTAATACAAAACGAAGGAATTTTTGTTAAAAAGGAAGGAATTTCGAAAATATTTTCAAACCAAAATGGGGAAAATGAAGAAAATAAACGTGAAAAATTGAAAAAGATAAACCTCAAATATAAACTGAGAAAATTATTTTTGTTGAGATTGAAAATAAAATTGGCTGAATTGAAAGGACAAACAGTCGAGGGAATTGGTTTGAAATTTTAATAAATTTTTAAAAAATATTTGAAATATACTTTTTTTATTTTTAATATTATTATAAATAATTAAATTTTAATTTTTTCCATTAAAGTAAATTCTCCTATTTCTTTGGAAGGAATAATCGAAAAATTAAAGAAATTGGGTATTAAAGAAAATGCCCCAGAGTTTCTAGCCGAAATAATTCACAAAATTGAGTCTAAATGTGAATTTAAAAAGACAACAACAAGTTTCGTTAAATCTCTTCTTCCATTCAAAAATGAAGGAGAAACAGAGAAAATAGAAAATAATTTAAGAAAACAAACTGATATCGTTAAAAAAGATTTTGAAGAAAAATTAGATGAAGAAATGAAAAAAACTTTGACGAAAGATGATGAATTTAAAAGAAAAACTTGGGAAAGAATTATGGATTTGGCTACTAAACGTTTAAATTTAAAAAAATATTTGACGAGAATGGCTAAGGAAACCAGAGATTTTGTAAAAATTTTGGATAAAAATAAGAAAATATTGGATAAACAAAAATTAGTTTTAAAGGATGTTAAAAAGATAGAAGAGTTTAGAAAGAAGGTAAGAATAAATTTTAAATAATTTGTGGATATATTAAAAATATTATCAGAGTAATTTTAAACCTTTTTCTCTGATACCTTCTCTAATAATTAATTGTATTAGGCATACATATTACTTAGGTTTTCTAAAATTAACATTATTTTCTTTCAAATTTTTAAAATTCGAATTTCTCAATTTAAAAACAAATTAATTTCAATTTTACCCTCTCTCAATTATAATCACCCCAACGAGTCTCTCACTGAGAGATTGAAAAAAATAATTAATCAGGGTAATTGTTTGAGCATATGTTAGATAGATTAAATTTCGATAGGGGATTTAAGATGAGCTTCTAATAGAGGCGAACTTCAATTAGAGTTAATTTGGAAATAACTTTCTTTTATTTTAGGTGGATACTGAAAATGTGGTTTACAAAAAGCGTATGATCGAAAAATTCGAATTCCTTAAAAAGAATTGGGAAGAAATTGTTGAGAAAATTAAAGAAATTCCAACAAATGTCAAAAAAACTTTAAAAGAAAATGGCCATTTATTTATTGGTTATTGCTTAGCAAAACGTTTCCAATTTGTTTTTAACGATGAAGGACAGGCAAAAACAAAGTTTTATAAAGATAACAATTCATATCTTTTGAAATATGCGACAGAAATTAATGGAATATTAGGTCCAAGAAGAGTAGACTTGGAATATTACAAAAAACTTGAAAATAAATTTAAAGAAAATATTGAAAAATTAACAGAAAATCAAATGGAGGCAGGAACCTCCACTGAGACAGAAAAGTTGGGTAAAATGATAGATTTAATTTTGAATGATTATTGGGGGAATATATGTGTTATTGACAGAGATAATGTTCAATTTGAAAAAGCAGATGAATGGAAACTACAAACAGGTAATATGATAAAATGTTATAGATTCCAGTCTTTCGATTTACATATTTTTCGGTTCGTCTCATCTTTCTAACATAAGTCGAAGAATGGTACCACTCATTATGATCGTAAAAGCCTGGGGACAGAGATATAGGTCTGAGATATTTATACATATCTCTCAGACATATACCCTCAGTCCCTATACCTGGGGATTGAAAGAGGGGACATATACATTTGCGGGCATATAACGGCTAAATTACTTAATTATCATTAAATACTTTATATTTGTTATCCTCGTTTTCTAACGTTTCGAGGAAAAATAAACATTAATTTTTTAATTTATTATTTCACACAGTCAATACAATACTCAATGACAATTTCAATCTTGCTGATCTGAAGTTCGCTGATATTAATCCTGATGACTTTAATCATTTGAACAAAGGAAGCAACGAATGGGCAAACTTCAAAAATGGAGCTTGTAAGAAATAAATTATATTTTTATTTTATTTTTAATGTTTTAAATTTAAGTGGAACGTTTCAATTTACATAAACTAACATTTACTGAGGCACATATAATAATTGCCTCCTTTCATAAAAATTTGAGTGATCATATAGCAGCAAGTGATATAACATCAATAATCAAAAAAGAATTGTCTAGTGTTGAAACTTCAATCGAATTAAAAGAAAAATTAAAAGCCTGTGGCTTGTCTGTTTATGTATTGAAATTTGTTTTAAATGAAAATCAAGGCGAAGAAGGAAATCGTTTAAAATCATTTACTCGATTCTTGTCAAAAACCCGAAAGAATGATAGCAAGAAAGAATTGCCTGAAAATATGAAAAAATATTTAGAAAATTTTAAAAATAAATGTGAAGAATTAATCAAAGAAAATAAAGATTTGAAAGAATTGAATAAACTTGTTGAGGATAAAACAAAATTAAATGAAGTTAAAAATAATTTAATTATTGAAATTAACAAATTTGAAAATAAATTGAATGAAAAAATTAAAAAATTTGAGAAAACAAATTTAAAAAATGAAATTAAAAAGAATGAAGATTTGGAAGGAAAATTGAAGAAGGAAACGGAAGAATATATTGACAGATTAAAGGAGAAATTGGTCTTTTTAGTTGGAAATTATGAGAAATTAACAGACAAAGATTCGGTTTGTTTAATTTAAAATTTTGAATGAATTTACTCAAAAATGAAAATAAAATATTTAATTTAATTTTAGACTTCACAAAGTAATGGACAAATAAATACTTCAAGTTTATCAGCAATTATTTATTGTTTAGCAAATAAATTTTTGGAAATATTTAATGAAGATGGAGTTGTTAATATGGATATTTTATTACAAAATATTTCAAATAAAAATTTGATAGAATATGGAATGGAAATGAATGAAAAATTGGGAAAGAAAAGAGTTGATAAAATGTAAATAAATATATAGTACAGTTAATGTCCTCTCACTTATATTTTTCAATGGGTCCCATTAATTTGGAATGGATTCTACTTTCAAAATAAAATGAAAACTCGGATTTATAAAAAAATAACTGATTTTCGAGATTGAATAAGCCAGGACTGGGCCTTCCTTAGTTATAATCTTAAATATGTAAATTATTTAAATTAGGGTTCAGCGATATCGAGATTCCGAAAGTATACTTGTATATTTATTAACTATTATTAAATATTTCAAATTTGGTTCTGGTTTTTTTCTTTTAAATGACCCATAGTTTTGGATTAACTTAATGACATAAAAAAAGCCTAATAGTAAACATATAACTATATTAGACTGTATTTGAAAATAAATTTATAAATATTTTTAAAGGTATTATCAACAAATTCTCAAAATGATTGAAGAAAATAGTAATGTTGAATTAAAAAAATTAAAAAAGAATTGGAGTAATTATTGTTACATTGACAAACAAAATGTTGAATTTGAAAGACCCGAGGAATGGGCACTTCAATATAGTAAATAATTTTTAAATAATTTAATTAATTTTGAATTAAATTAAAGAAAATGAAATTGGTTTACAAGAGGATGGTTTTCGTTTGGCATATTTGGGAGAGGGTAATGATGACAAAAAAACGGGAGAAGATAATGGTGGCAAAAAAACGGGAGAAGATAATGATGCCCTATTGTTAGCAATTAATGATAGAGAGAATGGATTAACAACAAAACAAAAGGAGGAAATATTTAAAGAAATATGTAAATTTAATTTAAATATATTTATTTTTTTTTAAATTTATTTTTTAGTAAACAATTTCCATCTTCACAAAGTCACTTTCCTAGAAGCTCATAAAATGCTTGATTTATCCAACTCTACAACAGAAACAACTTCGGAAATAGCCGAAACGTCTTCATCCCAAAAACAAGAAGAAACATACAAAAGAATTAAATTCGAAATGAGAAAGGTTTTTAATTTTCGGAAAAAAATCCACAAAATTTCCTAACTTTCGTCTTTGTCTAAGAAGTTCAAATTTTTAAAAAAATTTTTACTTTTTTAAATCAATCGGACTTGGGACATCATATATACCCTTGGAACCTAAAAAAAGATTTCTTGTCAGATTAAGAAAGTCATATTAAAAAAGAGATATAAGCATGCGAAAAAGGGTCCGACCATAATAAGATTATTTAGAAAATTCTTTGCTCAGCACTAAAATTCTTAAAAATCATTTATTCCAAACAAATTTAGATAGGAAAAATCTTTAAAAATCAAAAAGAAAATAAAAAAGAAAATGAAGAAGTTATGGAAGAAATTCAAAATGAAGAAGACGAAGACGAGAAGGCTCTAAATGTTTTAAATAAACAATTAATTAATTTAAAGAGTGTCAATTCTCAATTCTTCCAACAATTTGAAGGAAATATTAAAATAAAAACAGAATGGCAAAAATGTTTAAATTATGTTTTACTTTTGAAAATATTTGTAAAAAATAATTTGAAAATTGAGAAGATTAAAAAGATAATTTCTGAAAAATTGGAAAAGGAATGCAAATTAAATGACAAAAAAGTGGATAAAGAATTAAAAAATTTAGAAAATAATTTAAACAAATTATTTAAAGAATTCAAAAAAATTATTAGCCAAATTGAAAATAAAAATCAGTTAATGGAGTATTTTGGAGAATTGAAAAGTATTGAGAAAAAATCTGAAGAAAAGGGACGTCGAGTTGAAATTATTGAAAAAATGGATAAATTAGTGGTTGGAGAAAATATTAATGAATTTGATGGACGATTAAAAAATAAATTTAAATTTTTGTTGGAAAATTGGAAAAAATTGTTTTTCTCTACTAATGTACAAAATGAAGAAATCGAAAATATTTTTTATAAGCAAATATTGCCTGAAAGTGGGGAAATTAAAAATTATTTTAAAGATTCTGGTCCCCTTTTTGTTAAATATTGTTTAACTAAAAGAATTGAAAATTCATTCAATAAAGATGGAACTGTGAAATTTTCTGATTTTTTGAGTAATGGTGTTGGACAGGAATATGGATGGGAATTGAATGAAGTTTTGGGGCAAAAACGTATTGATATTGGGTAAATTAATTAATTAAATTTCATAAATATATTAAGGTGGAATGCTTTTAAGAAGGTCGTTCAAGGACGTCTTGAAAAATTTCGATCTCGATTATCGAGATTTCTGTTCAAGATCTCGTCTCATTCGATCTATACTTCTAACACGTCTCTTCAATTACACACCCCTTTCGTATTAGTGTATTTCACTTTATATATTTAAATTTTATTTTTAAAATAATATAACTAAACTTTTATTATTTTTAGACATTACGAGAATATACAAAAACAAATTAAAGAAAAATTAGAAACTGTGTGTGAGGAAAATTTTGAAGAAAATTTCAAAAATGGTTGTAAATTATTTTTGGAACATGAATTACAATATTGGCATTCTTTTTGTTCTATTGATACAGAACATTTACGTTTTGAACGTTTTGAGGAAATGAATGTTGTTACTAATGGTTATCAACACAAAAAGGGAGAAGAAAAGAAAAATTCTTTCAAGGAAGTAACTCCTGATGAATTTGGAGTTGTTAGTAAATCCGAAGAAAAAATTGAAGATGCTATTAAGAAAACAACTTCTGATGAAGTCAAGGGAGATGATACAAAATCCGAAGGAGAAATTCAAGTGTTGTGATATTGAGAAAAGAAAAAAGAGTATAAAAAAGAATGTATATATTACTAGTGGTAGATGGAAAAAATTTTTAAAAGGTAAAGTTTGAGAAATTGTAAGAAAAAAGTCAGCCGTATACATACGGATGCTGAAATCTTTAACCGTAAACCATCCTTTCCGTATACATACGGATGCTGAAATCTTTAACCGTAAACATCCCTTTTTAAATTTATTTATTTGGTATTATTTTATTTATTTTTAAATTACTCATTTATTGGTAAAGGTTGTCGTTACTAAAATTATTTTTTGTAATCTGAATAGCTCATTTAAATAGTATTTAACCTTTTTTGTAAGGATAATCTTTTTGAATTTAAAGAGAATCTTTTAAATCCAAAAATACGACAACCTTTGTTTAAAATTAACAAATCGAGAATGTATTTTTCATTCACATTTATTTAATTCACATTATATTTGTTTCAGTATTTCAGAACCGGTTTTGAACCCGAAAATTTTGCAATTATTTTTGCCAAATTTGAACCTATCTTTATAAAAATCTAAAACAAAAATTTATAACCCTCTCCGCCCAAATAAATGGGTATTTGTTTCAAAATCATCCCTTTAAAGCAGTTCTGAACTAGGTATTATATACCTCGTTTTTTTTAAATTACATATATTCGTAAAAACTTTTAAGATATAATTGAATTCTAAAACAAAAACATTTTAAATATATTTTAGTTATTCAAATTTGAAATAGAGATTATTCAATTCAATTATAACTTAAAAACTTTTCATTTTGTTCACAGAAAAGTGCCGAGTAAATTAGAAAAATTTCGCTACATTCAAATATTTCAAAAAATCCATTCGAAAATTGAAAAATATATATATATAGCTTACACGGCACTATTCATAACATTTTTAGATGTATATTCATGTCTGGACAATATATTTTTGATAACTCCTCGGCTTTCGCGAAATTATACTTGTCCATACTGGATATATACATTATATACATACATTATTCAAAATCTGTAGTTATTTTATGCAAATTTGTAGTCGCATAAAATTTTTGAAATTATTTTTGTGTTTAGTTTATAACGATTAATTCTACTGATTAATCTACAATTCGGCTATCTAGTTTCTAGAATACCTTATTCTCTTTGGTGATACGACACTTGACACTACGTTTACAATTGCTCCGTGTCGAGCGTCTAGTGTTGAGCGTTGAGTGTCAAGCGTTTTGTTCCGTGCATTTTATTCTCATTGTACTCGACACTCAACGCTTGACACGGATGTCATTGTAAACAGGTGCGCTTGACACGGAGGCACGCACGGATGCCCGCACGGACGCTTGACACTCAACACTACACGGAGTATTGTAAACAGGTGCGTTTGACGCTCGACAAAACGCTCAACAGAACGCTTGACACGGATGTCATTGTAAACGCAGCCTGAGGAACCGCAATATATAAAAATAAAAAAAGTTCATAAACCTCTATTTATAATTAAAAAAATAATTTTACTTATGATTAAAAGCCTTGACAACTTTAAATTCACAGGCTCAAATAGAAGTAGGCTTAACTATCTCAGTATGATTCTGAATTAATATTTTAAATCATTAGCAAGATAAATTTAAAAATTTCCACTATTTACAACCAAAAGTAAAATTTCCATTCCATAATTTTGATGGCTTAATATTTACACGAAGGATGTAAGAAAGATGGGAACAAATTTTGAGACTTATACTATTGTTTTTTTTGTCATGAATTTTTAGTTTGTCAAGAATTCTATTAAATTTTAGAAAAATATTATTCAAAATTTTGTAAAAAATTTTAATTTTCAAAAAATTTAGACATCGAAAAAAATACCCCCCCCCCTTTAAAATAACCCCCCTCTAAAATAGCCCCCCTCTAGAGGTCGATCGAAAAAAAATAACCCCCGGGGGCTATTTTAGAGAAAATACGGATTTTATAAAACTTTTATTTCAAATTGAACAGGAAAATTTTTTTAAAAAGAATATTTTTAATTGTTTGTTTAAAAGATAAATAAATAGCTTTTATTCTTTTAAGAGACAAGATCTATAGGAAAACACTAGATTTTATCCAAAAATTTTTGTTATAAATCGAGATTTTGCGAGATCTATCTCGTATTCTAGTTAAGAAGGGAGAGGGGAATATTTTAGAGTGGGTCCCGTTTTTTTCGATCGACCTCTAGAGGAGGCTGCCATTGTGCTATTCCCCCCACTGCCATTGTGCTATTCCCACAATGGCAGTGGGAATAGCAAATGTTGGTAACAAAATTTTGGAAAGTGGGGTGACCAATTTTGGGACGCCAAGAAGCTCAATTTCTACCGTTTTCAGCGCCGCAGGATTATAGAGTGATTAAAAGATCTAGAAGGATAAGTATGATTTAGAGGGTTAGGTGGATTTAGCGGGATTGAAATATTCAGAAGGATTAAATGATAGAGAGATGAAATTATTTCAGGGGATTAAAAGTTGAAGAGGGATTAGGTGGGTTTATAAGGATTAGGTGGATTTAGAGGGATTAAAAGATTTAGAGAATTAAAATATTCAGTGGGTTTAAAAGATTTAAGGGGATTAAAAGATTTAGAGAGTTAAAATATTCTGTGGGTTTAAAAGATTTAAGGGGATTAAAAGATTTAGAGGGATTAAAAGATCCAAAGGAATTATGTGGATTTAGAGGGATTAAAAGACTTAGGGTGATTAAAAATTATAGAGAGATTAGGTGGATTTAATGGGATTATAAGAGTAAAAAAAGATTCAGAGGGATTAAATGGATTTAGAGGGAATAGATGGGTTTATAGGGATTATATAGATTTATGGGGATTAAAATATTTAAATAAAGATTCAGAGGAACTAAATGGATATAGAGGGATTAAAAGTTGAAGACGGATAAGGTGGGTTTGGACGGATTAAAAGATTTGTAGGGATTAGGTGGATTTATAGTGATTAGGTCGAGTTAGGGGGATTAAAAGAGTTAAAAAAGATTCAGAGGGATTAGGAGGATCTAGAGTGATTAAAAATAGAGGGATTAAAAGATTTAGAGGGTCACTGATAAGTACAATTTTCAAATGCATACTTTTTAAAAACCTCTGTGGAAATAACTTTTTCTAGGCTCCGTGTTGAATGCGCCTTTGGCGCATTCAATCCAGTGCACGGAGCGCGCTGGTTTTTGGAGAAATATAATGAAAAAATTACTGAAAAATTCTTGATTCTTTAGAAAAAATCGGGAATAGGAATTCACGGCAAAAATTCAATTCCCGATTTTTGTGAATCGGAATAATTCCGGGCAAATCATAAAGAGGAGAGAGTC